CACTCAGGAACTGGCCATGCTGCCTACAGGATTCTGGGAGTTGTGGTCTCAAAAGAGAAGAATTTTTGCATCTGGTGAAGCAGACCTATGAAGGTAAGATGTGCAACTGCACAGCTGGCAGCCGGTGTCTCATGCCTACCCTGAAGACATTCTGATGATGCCTCACTAACAGCCTTCTAGCTATATGTGCCTCATCCTAGGTCAGACTACCAGTTCATTTAGCTCAACACACAAAAGCTGGGGAAATTATGCCCCCACCCCAGCTAATTCATGGCCTATCATCCTTCAGCTTTAGGTAACATGGTAATGCCAAAGGAAGATGGGAGCTGAAATCCACCAGCATCTGGAGATGCACACTTTCTCCACCTTGGTCTACCCTGACACCCACCATCTCATACGGGTGTCAGTGAAGGATTTCTCTCAGTCCCGCATGGATATTGGGGAGGGGGGAAGTCTGTTTCCTTTCTTGTCCACCCAAAGCATCTTTTCCAAGCCATTGCAAATTGTGACTGTCATAGAATCTCCACAAGTGACTACCAGATTTCCTTCCTTCCGTTTTAATGCCCTGGCTTGTCTGTCATATTTTAATCAAGATTTTGCTTTCAGTTCTTGTCTGCCTTGAGCCCCCTTTTTGCAGAAAGATGGACTAGTAAATGAATTATATAAAATAATTTGCCATTCACCTTGCAGTTTTCCTTTAGAGGAGAGGGGGAAATATCAAGTGGATGTAAAAAGAATATTTCTGACATGTGACCAGTCTTTATCTGTCTCCTCCTTTCTGTCATCAATAGCCACTGATGCCTGTCAACCTTTTACCACCTGAACTCACTTTGGTACTTCCTGCTTGTTTGCCCAGACCATCCACAGTGTTGGTTTTATATGGATTTTAGAAGAGCAAATATGGGTTTGATAAGAGTCCCTGTGTACTATTGACCACCACCAAGGGTCCTTTCACTGGATTTAGAGCTCTATCCACTTTCCAACAATCACAGTGCTTCATTGTATTTTAAAGGTTTGTTTGACGTGGTGGCGCTGCGGGCTAAACCGCAGAAGCCTGTGCTGCAGGATCAGAAGACCAAGCAGTCGTAAGATCAAATCCACGCAACGGAGTGAGCGCCTGTCGCTTTGTCCCAGCTCCCGCCAACCTAGCGGTTCGAAAGCATGCCAATGCAAGTAGATAAATAGGGGCCACCTCGGTGGGAAGGTAACAGCGTTCCGTGTCTAAGTTGCACTGGCCATGTGACCACGGAAGATTGTCTTCGGACAAACGCTGGCTCTATGGCTTGGAAACGGGGATGAGCACCGCCCCCTAGAGTCGAACACGACTGGACAAAAAAAAAATGTCAAGGGGAACCTTTACCTTTACCTTTACCTTGACTAGTTACTCCCATCCATCCTGGAGGTTTGATATAGGCCACAATCATTAAACAAAACAAACAAACAAACAGAAACACACAAAAATTATTTTTCTTCCTTTTAACTCCTAAGCTGGTGATTGAGGTTGGTTGGGGAATTCCGGCAGCTATAGCTCAAGAGATTACTTTTCAACGCAGAGCTTGAAATGGTGTGAAAAATATGAAGGCAAAAATGTACATTGAAAGCACGGAGTCTGATAGGAGAAGCATCCTGGGAGAATCCCATTTATTTAAGGTTACTGTTATTGTTCTTAACCTTGCAAACTAAAAGATAGACAAAGCTCTATCTCTTAAAGCTGAGAGATGGATAGACCTGAAAATATGCAGGCAGTATTTCAATTTTTTTGAAGGAGCTAAGGCAGGTTTCTCATACCTAACCAGGGTCTTCTGTACATATACTGCATAGTTTCATTGTTCTCGCGTATCAATGAAGCAAAACACTGGTGTCCAGAATAAGCATAGGACAACTATTTGTTTGCACGAGGCTCACATATTCCTCAAAGGGAGATACTATTTTTTCAGAGCCATGTACAGGGAAGGATAGCATTCATAGCTCAGTGCTAGAATGCATGTTTTGTATGTAGAATGTCCACATTTCTATTCCTGCCACCCGAAGTTAAAAGGATCAGGTGGTAATGGGTTGGGGAAAACCTTCTTTTTCTGCGACCCCCCAGTCTGAGCATGTAATACTGGGCTGCAGTTGCTGTAAGGCTGCTCATTTGATTTGATTTTTTTAAAAAAAAAACACAACATTCACAGCAATGCTACATGGATTGTTACACATGATCCACATGACCAGAGCTTAAAACAGGGCTTTTAAAGACTACAGCTTCCATAAACCCCCATGCCAAGGGGATGCTGGCAGGGAATTCTGGGAGTTGTAGTCCAGACAAGTGCTACAGAAGTCTATAATGTTGCAGAGTCACGACTGTGTGCATTTTCAGACCTGTAAGGCAGGTAAGCAGAACTTTCCATACATAACAACACAAGGGGCCCGCTGGATCACACCAAAAAGCCTAAGTAGTCCAGAACTCTGTTTCCCACTGTGCGTCACGACTGTGTGCATTTTCAGACCTGTAAGGCAGGTAAGCAGAACTTTCCATACATAACAACACAAGGGGCCCGCTGGATCACACCAAAAAGCCTAAGTAGTCCAGAACTCTGTTTCCCACAATGGCCACTCAGATTCCCTTTAGGATCCCAAAAGGGGAAAATTAAGGCAACTGCACTTCCCACTCCCTCATAAGACTCTTCAGACAAATGTATGATTTTAAAAATAAAAACTTGTATTTTATTGATAACAACAGAAGGAATGGTAAATCACTTTATCAACTAAAATAATAAGGCAATCAGTAATAATAAAGTATCCCCTCATACACACTATCACTCAGACCTTAACTCTTCATAGCTCTTAACTAACTAAAAACTGACTCACATCATTCACTCCCCCCCCCTTATATACACAGCTCCACCTCCTGGAGTCCCACCTCCTGCTCTGCTATAGGCAGATGGGTTCCAGTATAACCATGATAGGCAGGTGACATCATCGCAGCCGTCACACCCACAATGGCCACTCAGATTTCCTTTGGGATCCCAAAAGGGGAAAATTAAGGCACCTGCACTTTAGGGGTGTGGCTTCCCAGCAACTGGTATTTAGATATACAGTATGTTGTCTCCCATCCTAGCAATGGGATGGTATACATTTGTGTAATCCGCTTTTTGCATGAATCTTTGTGGCCATCATCACCAGAGCTGCCTCTACCATTAGGAAGAATGAGGAATTGTCCCTGTCAGCAGATGGGAGAAGCGGATGTTCATGGAATGGAGGAAGCATCAAACTTGTCCTTTCAAGTCAGGAAACAAAATTTCTCAGTTCAACTGCCTTCCATGGTTGCAAATGAACTACAGCTTTACTAAGGTCTACTTTTCCATTTTTAACTTCCTGAATGTCTAATTTTCCTGAAGGGACCTGGATAATTCAACATGGTGCATGGTCTAAATGTGGCTCATAAAACTGTATCTGAAGATTTTCAGTCATCCAGGTGAAGTTCTCTGGAAGTTGAGTCATGGCAACTGGACTGCCTTCTTGTTAGGTTGAAACATTTTGCTTCTCATCTAAGACTGAAGAAACTACAGTACAGTGGGGTCTTGACTTGAGAACTTAATCCGTATTGGAAGGCGGTTCTCAAGTCAAAAAGTCTGTAAGTCAAGCCTCCATTGACCTACAGTGCATTGAAAACCGATTAATCCCGTAACAGGCCGTTTTTGTTCCATTTTGGTTTTTTTCTGGTCTGTAAGTCAAATCTCAGTCTGCAAGTCAAACCTAAATTTTGCGGCCAGAGAAGTCTGTAACGCAAAAAGTCTGTAAGTCAAGCCGTCTGTAAGTCGAGGGTCCACTGTACTGTATTTGGATGAAATCTCATCTAAGACTGAAGAAACTACAGTACTGTATTTGGATGAATAGTGAAACGTGTCAACCTAACAAGAAAGAAGTCCAGTTGCCCTGACTCAGCTTCCAGATCGGCTCATAAAACTTCAGAACAATATTCAACAGGGGAAATTGGAAACCAAGAGCAGGTAAAATCATTTGGAGTGTATCAGACTCCTAATATATCAGCAAACACCACTAACTTTATCGATTGTTAAAACTGCTGGATACCTCGGTGATGTAGGTATATCTGGCTGTGGAGCCAGGGGTCGGGAATTTGGGAATTTTTCAAGTCCATCTGGCTGTGGAGCCAGAGGTTGGGAATTTGTGTCTCTCTCTCACAGGGGATGGACTTGATGATCCACAGGGTCCCTTCCAACTCTGCAGTTCCAAGACGATGAATAAGCTTCACCCTGCCTGGGTATATTATGGGGTGAAGATTGACGCCATCAAGAGAAACAGAAGTTCTGAACGTTAGCGAGTAGCTCTCAATTCAGAACAATCAAAGTTTCCCGGCTGGCGGAGCCAGAGCTGGAGAGTTTAGTTCTCCACTGTCCCTCCCTGACAGGAGCTGGATTCAGTGATTCATAGCCCCCCCCCAGCTCTGCAGTTCCCAGATGATGATTCCCTCGAGCTTCGCAAAGTTCAGACGTAACTTGCCAGTGACACGGTCTGATCCGGAATATGCGTCTCAGTGCCGTCTTAGTCTCGCTAGGCGGTGAGCTGATCGAGCGAGATACGCTGTGCCCGTGCCCCCAAAGGATCCTGTCGTGTGGCCCCCACCCCACCCTCCATTTCCCCCATTGGCTGCCTATCCGACCTGAACCCCGGTGGTCGCCCGGTCTTGCGAACGACGCGCCGG